AGCTATGGAAAAGCTGTTGTACGTGATCTTGTTTTTCACTGACTGGCTAAGGCAAGCACAAGCCCCAAGGAAAGATGCTATCAGAAATGCCAGCCTCAATGTGCGCTAATGAGGCAGGTTCAGTTCTGATTTAGGGCCAGTGTCAAATGAAGGAGAAACACCTGTTAAAGCCAGTTGAGGAGAGAATAGAAATCTCCCAATGTGCCATAGCTAAAAATGTAAAATGCTTGTTCAATCCTGTTGCAAAAGCAAAAAACTTTGTTCAAACTTCCCGGGCAAGAATTTGTAAGCAAGTCTGGTAAAACAACCAGTTGACTCTCAGACTCAAAAAGAACTATGGGAAATGACTGATAAAAGAGAAATGATAATAAAGGACTGATATAAGGGACTGATATTATTATGGACTGATATAAGCGAAATGCATTCTGGGAAAGGTAGTCTTTCCGCTAAAGATGGCGACATTGCCCTGAAACACTTGTCAGCTCGAAAATACGTTCATGGTAAACTTAAAATACAGCTTTTAAAAGAATAAGGAAAATCATCTAAGAGTTTAAGTGTCAGTTCCAATGAAAAATTGAAAGGATATGGAACTAGGTGCTTCGGGATTTGGGACTCCGTTGGTAAAATGCCTTATTTACCCTAATAGCTGTGCAAAGTTTTTATGATAGTTGGATGACAAAGGGCTACCTTTAAGAGCAAACAAGCCACTTTAAAATCCTTAAAGCAAGGGAAAGCAGTTTATACACTGAACGTTGTCTTAGATATGAAGAAACTTATGTGAAATTAAAAATTATTTACCTCTTGAACAAACAGCCTGCAATGAGTGATTCCTTTGCAAATCTAATTAAAGGGATAAGAAACAGGCATTCAAAATGAAATGACTGCTTTATAGATGGGAAACAAACTTCAGAAAAATCTAGCTGTCTTACAAAAGAGTTGCTTCATCTGAAAGTTCCTTATAAGAAATCAATGCTAAATATTACAGCTGCTAATAACATCAGGAGTTAAAGCTAAAGAGGTGAAAATACTAAATACAGTTCGGAGCTGTGCCACTTGTGGCTTTACTAGTTCCTTTAGAAAAATACTTTATATCACCTAATAGCTGTGCAGTATTTGGCGAAGAGCTTTACAGCAGCTAAATACGGTAATTTCACGCTCAGCGTGAAGTGAAGTTTTTCGGTAGAAGGAACCAAAAGTACTGCTGTAATAGAAATGTTTGTTTGAATTGAAGCACTTAGGGGACTACTATGAATTTGGGTGAAGGGACAGCCTCTAGTTAAAAACCGCTTACCGCTGACAGTGCATCTCTGTCGGTTCCGGGAAGGCTGAGAGAACTGGCAAGTTTGGAGTGTGGAGTCATCCTGGGAAGGTTACAGTCCCCTAGCAACAACTATCACAATTCTATAACAACAACACTCACTAAATCCCAGTGCTTTATAACAAAGCTGACTATAAACTCTAAACTTTAGAAATGATGTATGTACTTCCTGTCTAGTTAAGGGAATCTTTCTAATAGAGATAGTGATAATAAGAGTAAGAAATAGAAAAAGATGAAAATAAGATATGTAAGTTTGTAAAAATTCTGTCTTATTAGATCTGTGTTAAAGAAATCTTTAGGTGTTTGCTAAGTTAAATATATGCTAATGGTAGCCCTATATAAGTTTGTAAAATAGATCTATAGAGTTCCTTTAAGAATATAAGCTTGTAAGAAGTATCTAATGTAGTCTTAAGACATGTAGTAATAAGCTTGTAATAAGTAAAGATGCTAGTTTTAAATGTAAGTTTAAATAAGTACATAAGAAGTAATAAGAAATATATTTGCTAAAGTAGTTCTATAGTTTCCTTAAGGAGTATAAATATGTAGATGTTAATACGTTATATGTGAGTTTGTAAAATGTAAGTGTTGAATGTGAGTCTAAATGCTTTGCAAGGCAAAAAAATGTTATATGTGAGTTTAAAAAGTGTAAATGCTAAGTGTGAATCTATGCTTAATGTATATGGTGAAAAAACCTGAGATACAGAAGTTAGTGTCCTAGCAGACTGCAAAGCAGTCAAAAAGCTCCAGAAGCCTCTAAGAAGCTAAGAATGGCGGATGCCAGAACCAGCACAAGGCATCTACAGCTGAGATCCGTGGAAAATCGACGCAACACAGAAAAACCAGAGCTAACATAAAAAACGGTGCGGTTTAGAATACTACTGTACCTAAAAGTCTCTGGCTTAAGAATAAAAGTTGCAGAGATGCTTGTTTCAACTAAAATTGTTAACTGCAAAAAGTTTTGGTTGAAAAATGTCTCTTCATATTTGGAAGTGAAAGCCTAATACCAGAATTTATTTCTTGTTTGAACTTTTTGAACTTAAAATGAGATAAAATTACAAAGATTTTGGTTATGGATTTCTCATATTTGGAAGGCTAGTACCAGAATTTATTGTTTGAATTTTAAGACTTAAGAAATGAAATGAACAATAGAGATTTCATTGCAATGGGACAATTTTGAGTTTACTTATAGTAATGACCTAGGAACTGTTTGCTGGAAATGAGTTAAAAATGGAACTGTTTAAATGAAGAAATTTATTGTTTCTACCTTGACTCAAGACGCAGTTTTGTGTATGCATATATGCTTTATTAATTGGTGATTCATGAATTGTTTTGTGGAACTGTTTATGTAAAAATGAAATTACTTACAGAACTGGTTTTGTGTTATAAATGGAACGGTTTAAATGGAAAAGTTTGGGTTTTCTAACTAGGTTTGAGATTTTGCTTAAAAAATTATAAAGAAAAGGGGGAGAGTTAATATTCCTTAGTCTAATTTCAAAAGTTGAGTGGATTAATGTCATGTTTTTGTTAGTAAGAAATGCAAATGGTGTATATTAAGAGACTACTTTTAAAGTGTAAAGAGTTTTATTAAGAAACTGCTTTTGGATGTTTTGCTAAGTTTTCAAAGTGTTAATGGTTAGATTGAGAAGATTGCTTTTCAATATGGGTTTGTAGGAATTGTATGAGTTTGGGTTCTTCTAACTAAGTTTGAGATCTTGCTTAAAAAATGATAAAGAAAAGGAGGAGTTATGAGGTTGAATTATGTTTGCAGAAATTATATTTACCCTATTGATATTAATGCACCCTGGTTTTGTGGAGTTAAGGAAATATTTAAGTTTGATGTGAATACATTGAAGTTTTTCCTATGTTCTGTTAGCAAGAAAATTCAAATGATTGAGTTAAAGTTGTAAGACGGAGAAAATAGTTAACTATATTTAGCACCATATATGCTAATTCAAATGGTTCTGTTAAGAGTTTGCTTTGTGGTGTAAGATTGAGAGAATTGTGACTATGTATAGCAATATTTATGTTAACCTGTTAATGGTAATGATGAAGCTAAGGGGTTCTTTTTAAGTTTGTAGTCGCCTTAAGAGTTTTTGGCTTAGAAAGGGCTTGAGGCAGCTAAAACTGCCGTAGTCACCTTGGACCTAATTCAAAAGAGAAATGCCATCTTTATCATCCTCTACTCCCATACTGGGAGGTGTAACAGCTATGAAGATTGCTGTAAGCCATTAATAGTTATTTTTTATATATTAAGAAAGGGGGACCTGTGGGAGCCCGTTCTTGGGTTCCTCGTGGCTTTACCCAGCAGGTCCGCATAGAGGATGATTAGGACCACGGGCCTGAGTGCAGGTGTCTGAGATGGTCTGCACTTGGCTGTGCTGGGGGAGGAGGTCTTTTTCTCCACCCCCTGGCATCTCTATAAAAACCCTGGGGCAGAGACAGTCAGGGCCCGTTGGAATAGGTTCCAGGCCCTCTCGAGGCTATCCTTTATTTTCTATCTGTTTATCTCCGTGATATTCTCCACAATAAATCCTTCTATCTAATATTTCCTGGTGCTCGCACTCAAGAAAACTCTGGGGAACTGTGGGGGTGGTTGGGTAAACACCCCACAACACAGTAAGAGACTGGGATGACACAGTAGGAGAAAGTGATGTCACAATTGGAGACTATGATTACACAATAGGAAACAGTGATGACACAGGGGGAAACTCTAATGACACAGTAGGAGATAGTGATGACACAGTAGGAGACTGTGATGACACAAAAGGAGACTGGGATGACAGAGTGGGAGACCATGTTGACATAGAAGGAGACTGTAATGACACAGTAGGGGACTGTGATGACACAGTAGAGACTGTGATGATAAATAGGAGACTGTGATGACACAGTAGGAGACTGTGATGACACAAGAGGAGATTGTGATTATGCAGTAGGAGACACAGATGTCATAATAGGAGATGGTGCTGACTTATTGAAGACTGTGACTCACAATAGCAGACTGTGATGACACAGTAGGAGACGACATGGACATTGTAGAATTTGATGACACAGTAGAATACTGTTAGGACACAATAGGATGATGACACAATAGGAAACTGGATGACATAATAGAAGACTGCAACGACACAGTAGCAGACTGTGATGACACAGTAGGAGACAATGGTGACACAGTAGAATACTGTGATGACACAAGAGAAGATAGTGATGAAACAGTAGGAGACAGTGGTGACATAAGAGGAGACTGTGGTAAAACAATAGGAGACTGTGATGTCACAATAGGAGACTGGGATGACACAGTAGGAGACTGTGATGACATAGTAGGAGACTGTGATGACACAGTAGGAGACTGTTTGGACATAGTGGGAGACTGTGAGGACATAATAGGATACCATGATGACACAAAACGAAACTGAATGACATAACAGGAATCTGAGTTGACACTGTTGGAGAATGTGATGACAATGTAGGATACCATATGACACAGTAGGAGATGGTGAGGACACAATAGGATACAATAATGACACAATAGAAGACCATGATGACATAAGAGGACAATTTGATGACACAATAGATTATGATGATGCAATAGGAGACTGTGATGACGCAATAGGAGATGGTGATTACATAATAGGAGAATGTGATGACACAATAAGAGAATGTGATGACACAATAGGAGACCGTGATGATAAGAGAGGTGACTGTGATGACACAGAATGGAACCATGATAACATCAAATGAGATTGGGATGACACAGGAGGAGACTGTAGTAACAAAGTAGGAGAATGTGACAACATAATAGGAGTCTGTGGTGACACAGTAGGAGACAATTATGACACAATAGGAGACTCTGATGACATTATCAGAGACTGTAAAGAAACAATAAGAGAGTGTAATAACACAGTAGGATACTGGGATGACATAATAGGAGAAAGTGATGACACAGTAAAACACAGTGATGACAGCATAGGAAAAATTGATGACACAATAGGAGAAAGTGATGACAAAATAGGAGACTGTGATGACACAGTAGGAGTCAGTGAAAACACAATAGGAGATTTGATGACACATTAGAAGAATATGATGATAAAATAGGAGACTGTGATGACATAATAGGATACTGTGATGACACAGTAGGTAACTGTGATGACACATGAGGAGATTGTGATGACACAGAAGGCTTCAGTGTCCTCATAATAGGAGAATGAATAGACACAATATGATACAGTGATGACAAAAGGAGATACTGTGATGACACACTAGGAGATCATGATGACACAATAGGAGATTGGGGTGACACAGGAGGAGACTGTAATGACATAGTAGCAGACTGTGATGACATAAAGGAGACTGACGACACAGTAGGAGACTGTAATGATACAAATGGAGATAGAGATGACCCAGTAGAAGACGATGATGAAAGAGTAGGAGACTGTGATGTCACAGAAGGAGACTATGATGACACAAGTGGAGATTGTGTTGACGCAGTAGGCGAACTTGATGACATAATAGGATACTGTGATGATACAATACGAAATAGTGATGACAGAGTAGGAGACTATGATGACACAGAAGGAGACTGTGATGACACAATAGGAGACTGTGATGACAAAATAGGAGACTATGAGGACACAGTAGGAGATTGTGATAACAGTAGGAGACCATGATGACACAGAATTAGACTGTGATGACACAGAAGCAGACTGTGTTGAGACAATAGGAGACAGTGATACCACACTAGGAGACAGTGATGAAAAATAGAATACTGTGATGACACAGTAGGTGACTGTGATGACACAGGAGGAGATTGTGATGACACAGAAGGAGACAGTGTCCTCATAATAGGAGAATGAAAAGACACAATATAAGACAGTGATGACAAAAGGAGAGACTGTGATGACACACTAGGAGATCATGATGACACAATAGGAGATTGGGGTGACACAGGAAGAGACTGTAATGACATAGTAGCAGACTGTGATGACATAATAGGAGTCTGTGATGACAGAGAAGGAGACAATGATGACACAATAGGAGTCTGTGATGACATAATAGGGATACAGTGAAGATACAATAGGAGAGAGTAATGACAAAGTAGAATACTGTGATGACATAAAGGAGACTGTGACGACACAGTAGGAGACTGCAATGACACAAATAGAGATAGAGATGACCCAGTAGAAGACTGTGATGAAAAAGTAGGAGACTGTATTGTCACAGTAGGAGACTATGATGACACAAGTGGAGATTGTGTTGATGCAGTAGGAGAACCTGATGACATAATAGGATACTGTGATGATACAATAGGAAATGGTAATGACAGAGTAGGATACTATGATGACACAGAAGGAGACTGTGATGACACAATAGGAGACTGAGATGACACAAGAGGAGACTGTGATGACACATTAAGAGACTCTTAGGACACTGAAAAAAAACTGAGATTACACAGTAGGAGACAGTGATGAAACAATAGGAGACCGTTATGACACAAACGGAGACTGTGATGACACAATAGGAGATTGTGATGACACAGTAGAAGACTGGGATGATACACTAGGAGACTGTGATGACACAGTAGCAGATTGAGTTGACAAAAGTGGAAAAAGTGATGACACACTAGGAGACCAGGATGACACAATAGGAGACTGAGATGAAACATTTGGAGATAATGAGGACACAATTGTAGACTGTGATGAAACAATAGTTGACTGTTTTGACACAGTAGGATACAGTGATGACACAATAGGAGACTGCGATTACACAATAGGAGACTGTGATGACCCAATAGGAGACTGTGATGAAACAAGAGGAGGCTTTGATGCCACAGTAGGAGACTATGATGACATACTAGGAGACTGTGAAGACACAATAGGAGACTCATGTCATAAGGTGAGACTGGGATGACACAGGAGAATATTGTGACGAAACAATGGGAGACTTTGATGACACAGTAGGAGACTGTGAGGACAGAGTAGGAGACTGTAAAAACACAGTAGGAGACCGTGATGAAACATTAGGAGACAGTGATGACACAATAGTAGAAAATGATGACAAAATAGGAGACAGTGATGACATTATATGAGACTGTGATGACACAATATGAGACTGTGATGTCACAAAAGGAAAATGATTGATGACACATAGGAGACTGTGATAACAGAGTAGGAGAATATGAGGACACAGTAGTAGATTGTAAGGACACAGTGGGAGACTGGGATGACACAATAGAAGATTGTGAGGAGAAAATAGGAGACTGTGATGACATAAGAGGAGACTTTGATGACTAAATACGAAATTTTGATGACATAATAGAAGACTGTGATGACATAATAGGAGACTGGGTTGACACAATAGGAGACTGTGATGACACAATAGGAGATTGTGTTGACACAATAGGAGACTGTGATGAAATAATAGCAGATTGTGTTGACAAAAGTGGAAACAGTGATGACATAGGAAGGGACCGTGATGACACAATAGGAGACTGTCATGACAAAGTAGGACACAGTCATGACAAAATAGGAGATAGTGATGTCACACAAATAGACTGATTGATGACTTATTAGGAGACTGTGATAACACAGTAGGAGACTGTGAGGACACAGTAGGAGATTGCAAGGACAGAGTATGACACTGTGATGACAAAATAGGAGACTGTGAGGACAAAATAGGAGACTGTGATTACACAATAGGAGATTTGATGACTCAATATGAAAAAGTAATGACACAATAAGAGAGTGTGATGACATAGTAGGAGAATATGGTGACAGAGTAGGAGATAATGAATAAACAATAGGAGACAGTGATGACACAAGAGGAGAATGGGATGTCACAGTAGGAGACGGTGATGACACATCAGGACACTATGATGACACAATAGGAAACAGTGATGACACAATAAGAGAATTGATGACACAATAGGAAATTGTTATGACACAGTAATAGACCGTGATGATATAGTTGGAGACGGTGATGTCACAGTAGGAGACAATGAAGACAAAATAGAAGACTGTGATGACACAATAGCAGATTGTGTTGACAAAATAGGGAACAAATATGACACAGTAGAAGACAGTGATGACAAAATAGTATAGTGTGATGACAAAATAGGAGACTGTTATGACATAATAGTGACTGTGATAACACAGTAGAAGACTGTGATGTCACAATAGGAGACTGGGATGACACAGTAGGAGATTGTGATGACACAATGGAAGAACACAATGGCAGAGTAGGAGACTGTGAGGACACAGTAGGATACAGCAATGGCACAATAGAATATGATGACACTTTAGGAGACTGTAAGGACACAATAGCAAACTGTGCTGACACAATAAGAGACTGCGATGATACAGTAGGAGATTGTGATAACACAGTAGAAGACTATGATGATAATGAAGGAGACTGTAGTGATACAGTAGGAGATGGTGATGACAAAGTAGGAGAATGTAATGACACAATAGGAGACAGTGATGACACAGTAGGAGACTGTGATGAAAATAGAGACTGTGATGACACAAGAGGAGATTATAATGAGACAGTAGGAGACAATGATGTCATAATAGGAGATGGTGATGATACAATTGGAGACTGTGACATCACAAGAGGAGACGGTGATGACAGAGTAGAAGACAGTGGTGGCACAGTAGAATTTGATGACACAGTAGAAGACTGTGAGGACACAATAGGATACGATGATGACACAATAGGAGACTGGATGATATAATAGAAGACTGTGATGACAGAGTAGGAGACTGTGATGACACAATAAGACACTGTGATGACACACAAGAGACTGTGATGACACAGTAGGAAACTGTGATGGCACAGTAGGAGACAGTGATGACACAATAGGAGGCTGGGATGACACAATAGGAGACTATGATGACACAATAGGAGACTGTGAGGACACAGTGGGAGACCAGGGGAAAATATGATACCATGATGACATAATAGGAGACTTGATGAGACAATAGGAGACTGTGATGACACATTTGTAGACAATGATGACACAATTGGAGACTGATGACAAAATTGGTGACTGTGATGACACAGTAGGAGACAGTGATGACACAACCAGAGCCCGTGATGATACAATAGGAGACTGTGATGACACAGTAAGTGACCATAAAGACACAATAGGAGACTGTGATGACACATTGGAAGACTCTGATGACACAGAAGGAGACTGTGATGACACAGGAGGAGACTATGATGACACAATAGGAGACGGTGATGACATAATAAGAGACTGTGATGACAAAGTAGCAGACTGTGATGACACAGTAGGATACTGGGATGACATAGTAGGAGACTGTGATGTCAAAGTTGGAGACGATGATTACACAATAGGAAACAATGACAACACAATAAGAGACTGTGAAGACACATTAGAAGACTATGATGACACAGTAGGAGACCATGAGGACACACTAGAATACTGTGATGACACAGAAGTAGACACTAATGACACAATAGGAGACAGTGATGAAAAATAGGAGACTGTGATGACACAGTAGGAGACACAAGAGGAGATTGTGATGCTGCAGAAGGAGACAGTGATGTCATAAAAGGAGATGGTGCGAAAAAAATAGGAGACTGTGATATCACAATAGCAAACTGTGATGACACAGAGGGATACTGCAATGACATTGTAAAATTTGATGACACAGTAGGATTTTGTGAGGACACAATAGTATAAGATGATGACACAGTAGGAGACTGAATGACATAATAGAAGACTGCGAGGGCACAGCAGGAGACTGTGATGACACAGTAGGAGACCAAAATGACAGAGTAGGATACTGTGATGACACAAGAAAAGATTGTGATGACACAGTATGTGACAGAGATTTCATAATAGGAGACTGTGATGACAGAGTAGGAAACTGTGATGACACAAAAAGAAACTGTGATGATACAAGAGGAGACTGTGATGACGTAAAAGGAGACTGTGATTATACAACAGGAGACAGTAATGACACAGGAGGAGACCGTGATGACATACTAGGAGACTGTTTGGACACATTGGGAGACTGGGAGGACACAATAGGATACCATGATGACACAAAATGAAACAGGATGACATAACAGGAGACTGTGATGACACTGTATGAGACTGTGAAGAAAGGGTAGGGTACCATTATGACACAGTAGAAAGCAGTGAGGACACACAATATTGACAAAAAAGAAGACCGTGATGACATAAGAGGACAATTTGATGACACAAACGGAGACTGTGATGACACGAACGGAGACTGTGATGATAAAAGAGGTGACTGTGATGACACAGTAGGAGACTGTGATGACAAAAAAGGAGATAGTGATAATATAGTAGGAGACCATGATGACACAATAGGATACTCTGATGACATTATAGGAGACGGTGCTGATACAATAGGAGACTGTAATGACACAGTAGGATACTGTGATGTCATAATAGGAGATGGTAATGACACAGTAAGAGACGGTGGTGATATAATAGGAGAAAGTGATGATGCATTATAAGACTATGATGACACAGTAGGAAACTGTGATGATGTAATATGCTACTGTGATGATACAATAGGAGACTGTGATGACATAGCAAGATACTATGATGACACAATAGGAGATTGTGATGACATAGTAGGAGATGATGATGAAACAATAGGAGACAGTGATGACACCAGAGGAGACTGGAATGTCACAGTAGGAGACTGTGATGACACATCAGGACACTATGATGACAAAATAGGAAACAGTGATGACACAATAGGAGTATTGATGACACAAAAGGAGACTGTTATGACACAGAAGTTGACCGTGATGATATAGTTGGAGACAGTGATAACACAGTAGGAGACTATGAAGACACAATAGAGCACTGGGAAGATATTCTAAGAAACTGTGGTGACACAACAGCAGATTGTGTTGACAAAATAGAGAACAGAGATGACACAATAGGAGACTGTGATGACACAGTAGGAGATAGTGATAATGCAATGGGAGAACATGATGACACAATAGGATACTATGATGATATAATAGACTGTGATGACACAGTAGGAGATGGTGATGACATGAAATGAGAAAGTGATTACACAATAGGAGACTGTGAAGATACAATAGGAGATTATGATGACCCATTAGAAGATTCTGATGACACAGAAGGAGACTGTGATGACACAGTAGGAGACTATGATGACACAATAGGAGACTGTGATGACATAATAAGAGACTGTGATGACAATTTTGGAGACTATGATTACACAATAGGAAACAGTGATGACACAATAGGAGACTGTGAGGACACATTTGCAGACAGTGATGACAAAATTGGAGACTTTGATGAAACAATAGGAGACCATGATGACACAATAAGAGATTGTGATGACACACAAGAGACTGTGATTACACAGTAGGAAACTGTGATGGCACAGTAGGAGACAGTGATGACACAGTAGGAGACCTGGATGACACATTAGGAGGCTATGATGACACAGAAGGAGACTCTGATGAAAAAATAGGAGAATGTGCTGACATAATAGAAGACAGGGATGGCACAGTAGGACACGATGAAGAAACATTAGAAGACTGTGATGACACAGTAGCAGATTGTTTTGACAAAAGTGGAAACAGTGATGACACAGTAGAAGACCATGATGACAGAGAAGGAGACTGTGATGACACAATAGGAGACAGTGATGAAACAATAGTAGAGAATGATGACAGAATATGAGACTATGATGATATAATAGGAGACTGTGATGACACAGTAGGAACCTGTGAGGACACAGTGGGAGACAGTGAGGATATAATAGGATACCATGATGACACAATAGGAGACTAAATGCCATAAGAGGAGACTGTGATGATAAGGTAGGAGACTGTTATGAAACATAAGGAGACCATGATGACACAGTAGGAGATGGTGAGGACACAATATTATACAATATTGACAAAATAGGATACTGCAATGACAAAAGAGGAGATGTGATGACACAAAAGAAGATTGTGATGACAAAGTAAGACACTGTAGTAACACAGTAGGAGACTGTAAGGACAGAATAGGCATCTTGGTGACACAAATGGAGACAATGATGACACAATAGGAGACCCTGATGACATTATAGGAGATTGTGATGATAATAGGAGACTGTAATGACACAGTAGGATACTGTAGTAACATAATAGGAGACCGTGATGACACAGGAAGAGATGGTGATGACATAATAGGAAAAAGTGATGACACAAAAGGAGAAAATGATGACGCAATAGGAGACCCTGATGACATTATAGGAGAATGTGATGATAATAGGAGACTGTGATGAAACAGTAGGAGATTGTGATAACACAATAGGAGATTGTGATGACACATTAGAAGAATATGATGACACAATCAGAGACTGTGATGACACTTTAGGAATTTATGATGACACAGTAGGAGATTGTGATGACATATTAGGATACTGTGATGATGCAAAAGGAAATAGTGTTGACAGAGTAGGAGACTATGATGACAGAGAAGGAGACTGGGATGACACAATAGGAGACTGTGATGATACAGTACGAGACTGGAATGACAGAGTAGGAGACTGTGATGACACAGTAGCATATTGTGTTGACGAAAGTGGAAGCAGTGATGACATAGTAGGAGAAGGTGATGATAATAGGAGAAAGTGATGATACAATAGGAGACAGTGATGCAACAGAAGAAGAAGGTGATGACACAATACGAGTTAATGATGACATAGAAGGAGACTGTGATGACATAATAGGTGCCTGTGATGACACAATAGGAGACTCGGATGACACAGTAGAAAACACTGATGACAAAACAGGAGAAAGTGATGACACAAGAGGAGAAAATGAAGATACAATAGGAGACTGTGAGTACACAATGGGAGCCTGTGAGGACACAATAGGATACCATGATGACAACATAGGAGACTGGATGACATAACAGGAGATTGTGATGACATACTAGGAGATAGTGATGACACAGTAGGAGACGGTGAGGACACAATAGGATACAATGATGACACAATAGGAGACATTAATGACATAAAAGGACACTTTGATGGCACAATAGGAGACTGTGATGACACAGAAGGACATTATGATAACACAGTAGGAGAATGTGATGACACAGTAGTAGACGGTGATGACATAATAGGAGAATGTGATGACACAGTAGGAGACCATTATGACTTAAGAGGACACTGTGATGAAACAGTAGGAGACTATGATGACACAATATGAGATTGTGATGACAGAGTAGGAGACTATGATGACACACTAGGAGACTGGGATGACATAACAGGAGACAGTGATGACACAATAAGAGATTTTGATGACACAGTAGAAGACAGTGATGACATAATAGGAGAAATTGATGACACAATAGGAGACCGTGATGAAACAAAAGGAGACTGTGATGACATATTGGAGACTATGAGAACACAGTGGGAGACTGTGAGGACACAATAGAATAATATGATGACATAGTAGGAGACTGTGCTGACATAATAGGAGAATTGGTGACACAATAGGAGACTGTGATGACACAGTAGGAGATTATGAGAACACAGTAGGAGAATGTGATGACACAGTAGGAGATGGTGATGACATATTAGGAGAATGTGATGACACAAAAGGAGACTGTGATGACACAATAGGAGATTGTGATGACAGAGTAGAAGACTGTGAAGACACAATAGGAGATTAGAAGACTCTGATGACACA